AATTTGATTTTTCATCATTAGTGGGAATTAAACTCTGGAGTGCTACTTGGGGGTAACAACTTGACCACTTCACTAAGTTGCCGCACCCCCTTAAGAAAATCTTTAAAAATCTTTAAATTAATTAATATATATTATATTATAATCTTTTAAATTAGCATTTTAATATTAATTAAAATATCAATTATAGTATAGATATAATAATATAACTATATAAAATTAGTAAGTTTAATTATTTTTTAAAAGAGGTAACCTATACTATATTTGATCCTTAAAATTATCTAATTTGATTTATTCTGCTATTATTTTTTATATAAGTAAATATACAAAAAAAAATAATTATTTTCAAAAAAAATAATAAGTGATGAAATTATTTATAAAAAATTAAAAAAGTTTTCTTATCTGTTGTTTTTTAATTTATTACTATAGAATAGTAAACTTTATTTACTAAATTTAATACTATATCAATAATACTATATCTAAAAATTTACAAAAAAAAGATTATAAATTTTTTATTTTTATATTATTCATTCATATATTTTAATTGATTAAGGGTCATAAAATTAATAAAATTTGTATTCTATAAAATTTTATAATACCTACAATACTTTTTATATTTATAACTTAATTTTATAATTTTTATAATATTCTGTAAAATGCAAAAAATTATTATTTTTGACATAGCTTAAAATAGAAAGATCATAACTATAATACAAATAGAATTTAAATTTTTATTATTAGTAGAATTTGAATTTTAGACATGCTATTTGAAGTAACAACTTGATTATTTACTAAGTTATTATACTTTATTTGGATTTTAAAGATAAAAGAATTTAAATAAAAAAATTTTTTATTGAATTTAGTCAAGTAGTTGTTAAGATATTTTTTGTTTAAATATTTAAAAAAGTTTTTATTATAATAAGTTTAATTATATAAAAAAAAAATTTTAATTAAAAATATAAAAAGTCTATATGCCACCCGAAGTGATATACCACCCTGTCTAAATTAAATAGTAATTTGATGATACACATTACTTTAGAGTTAGGGTTAGTCAGTCAATTTAGTATTTAATTTAGATAGGGTAGCAATAAATTATTTACTACCCTGGGTGGCACCAAAACAACTTCTTAAAAATATTAATTATATCTAAAAATTATTTTTTTTATATAATTTTAGCTTCTTGTTTTGTTTATTTCAATCTAGTTATATTTAAAGTTCTAAGAATTTCTCTTATAACATCAACAATCCTAATTATAACAAAAGCTTATCTAAGCAAATATTTAGATATGATCTGCATCAGTAGTCCTTAGCTTCTTTTCAAGTTTGAAACTTACTAAAGACTTTTTTTCTATTAGTTAGACTAGTAATTATATACTAATTAGCTATTATGCTAATATTACAAGAACCTAGTCTTAATAAAAATCTAAGCTACAGATAGAAAATATATGAAAAAAAACAAAACCTAATTAAAATGCATTTTATAATCTGTATATAAAGTTAAAAATTGTATACTACGTGATTACAGAATATAAAAGTATATCTTTAATTTATATGTCTACTTAAGAATCTTCCTATTTCTATCTAAGCTATAAGCAAAAGCTTCTAAAAAGTTTTATGTTCATTTATAAGCATCTAATATGACAGGTTAAACCTTACCTCCCAGCCTATAGACCTGCTTCAGTTTTGTAATATATTCTATATATGAATGTTGCTAAAAGAAAATCTGAAAATTTAAATATAATTTATATTTAAATTATTAGGTTTTCTTTTAGCAACACTTATATATATATATGTATATATTATATTATATAGATCTAACAATTTTTTATATTTTACTTCTTTAAAAATTAGTTGATAAATAATCCTTTTTTATTCTAGTAAGATTAAACTAAACATTTTTTAAAAATCTAATTTTTTTTTTACTTTTATAATGTTACAAACAAGTGAGCTTTTATTAGATATTCTAGTAGTAGATTCTTAGTTAATGAAAGTATATTTAACTATATGGGGTCTTTGCTTTGAAAATCAAATATATGATATATAATTTACTATATCTCATAACTTGATTTTTAAAGCAAAGACCCTACATGTGCAACTTTTAATTATTTGTTTAAAAAATCCACCCAAAGGTTCTATATTAAATATTATATCTGTAACCTAACTAGGAGATTATTTATTTAAACTTTCTAATATTCTCTATCCAGCACCACTACTACAATTATGCCAGCTTATAACCTTATGCTGCTTCAATTAAGGGTAGAGTATAGGTCGATTATTTATCATTTGATCTCTGTGGTATAACAGGATTTTATGCATAAAGTAAAATACGTCACTAGTAAAAATTCTCAAAGCCATGGTTAAATTTTACCAAAATTTGGTAATTTGCAGTTCAAACCTTCTATTTATAGTAGTAAAACTTTCGGGGGCTATATTATTTTTAAAAAATGAATATATATATCATAAAGTTTACGGGGATTTCTCACATTTCCTGAAGTTACACAAAAAAAAACATAGTAAAAATATTTTTAAAACAGGTAATTACCCAATTAGATTTGTGTTTACTATGTAATCTGTTATATAAAAAAAAATTGCCATGCATATCATATGATAAATGATCTACATATACTCTACCCTTAAAGATCACTCAGATTGACAAATGTTATATTAATGCTTTAATTTTATAAATAACTCAATAGGGTTTTCATACTACCGAGTTACTCTAAGAGAGGTGTAGTACATATCTCCTAATCTTTCTATGTTTCATATATTTTAGGATTAAGCTTCAAATATCTTTTGCAACAGCCAAAACTACCACTAGCAGTCAGAGCTAACTATTAAACTACACAATTTTAGTATTTGTATCTTTACAAGATTCATTTCAATTCCAATATTTATATCAAACCAGTTCTTATACTGATCCCTTTCTAATTACCAAACCAGTTAACCCAGATGAATCATTGTACCTAGGCTTTAAGTACTTTCCAATTTTACTTCTCTTAATTCCTAATTCTATAGTATAGAACTCTTTTCTCTGGTATGACTCTGACAGCCAGGTTGGTAAACTCTTTTTGCTTCAGGATTTTTGTTTGGTTCTTTGGTCTCTGATTCCAACTTTCCACAGTATTGTCAAAGATCTTCACTACCTCCTTGCTCGGGTCTTGCCAAATAGGTTTCAATTATTCCAGTTCCTTAAATTTGAATTGCCCAAAAGCTTTCATTTCAAAATGGTAATACCAAGATTACAGGTGATATATCCAACCAATCGTTGAATATATGTTACCAGTACCAGTCCTATTTTTCTAAAAACGCCTTTAGTAAGATTCAAACTCTAGACCGCTGCTTAGGATGACAACTTAACCACTATCCTAAGTCACCACACCCTAATTTAATTTTAATTTAATATATTTTTTAAACAAAATAATAACATTTTATCCACTTGATATTTATATCTTTAATTTGCTTGGCTAGTAATTATTTGTGAATTGACATAAAGAATACTGTAATATAATTTTTTAACAAATTTGTAGTACTTATTAAAAAGAACAGAGTTACTATTTATAAAAAGGGTGCTGTTAAATTACCCAGAATTTAGTCGGAATTTAGTATAACGTAACACGATCACGAAGATCAAAAAAATGTTCGTCTTTTCAAAAATCGCTTATTTCTCGAAAACTTGCACAAGAAACCACCTTTCGAAAAAATTTCTTTGTGCAATTTTATTATATATGCCACTAAAAGAATCCTAACCCTAACACATACCCTAAATAAGCTTATCGAATTTTGCTGTAAGAGATGTATCTCTCGCGGAAGATACATATCTCGCGAGAGATTCCTATAATTTCCCTTATAAAAAATTATAGCATCTTAAAATTAAAACATATAGTAATTATATATATAAAACAATAGTAATTTTTAAAACGCATCAACTTTTTATACAGATTTTTCAAAAAAATATTTGGAAAATTTATAGAACTAATATTTCTCTACAAAGTTACCGGTCAGTTTTCTTGAAAAACCTCTTGTATAAAAAGGTATAGCGATTTAAAAAATTAAAAAAAAAATGATAAAAATACATATTTTACAGGCTTAATTTATTACTAACGCAAAAATGTGGATCTACAAGAAATGGAAATCTGTATCCGATTATCCAATTACGTATATCCGATATCAAAAATCATTCCGGTTTTTTTTTGACACAGTTATGATCTTTATTAGTAGAGCAAACAGAAAAGTATTGGTTCCCGGCTAGTTTTAATTTTGATCGGTGATCTAAAGTAATTATTGGACCCAAAAAGCAGATAGTGTGTAACGTTGCCATGAATAAATTTAGTTCACTTTAAATTTTTATACAAATCACGTACATTTGTTTTTACTCCTTATTTATTTATTACTTTATTTCAGTTTTTCTTTTTTGCGTATATATATATATATATATATATATAAAATAAACATGGATAGTTGGTATGAAGTGCTCACAGCATGCGATCCAAGTCTAAATGCTGTTCAATCCATAACAGCAATCGCCTTCGATCCATATCAAGAACTTCTATGGACTGGAAATGACAAAGTAATTGTTGATATTTTTCAAAATTTAAGGTTTTTTTTTAATTTTTTTTACAGAGTGAATCTAACATTGTATTATTTAAGAATATAAAATGTTAATAAATACTTAATAATCATAAGGGTCGAGTGATTTCTCATTTTGGTGATGGCTTGCAACGATATACGAGTTTTAGATCACACTTATCTCAAGTTCGTCAGTTATTAGTCAGTGATAAGGGTGTGATATCATTAAGCCCAGATTCCATTAGAATGACCAATCGAAGAGGTTTGGTCAGGTGGACTATGAGGTGTGACTATTCTGCTTGATCCTCATTCGAATGTGTTTGTTACAAATATTGATCATTTGTTTCTCCGACATTTCTGAATCAAAATATTTATAAAGCAATGAAGATACTTCAAATTTACATTGCATGGCTTATACTACTATTCCAAATCCAGAAATTTTGGCTGCTGGAAAACAAAATAATATGCTTGTTATCAATGTTGCAAGAGGTTCTGTAGTTAAAAAGGTTATTGATAAATATTATAAATATTTTAATCTTTGATTTATAAACGAGGCTTTTGCTGATTTCTGGACTATTCGCGGATCAGGTTGAATCAGCCAATGAAATTGTGGTTATGCGAAAATCAAGGCTTGTTTGCTGTGGTGCAACTTCTGGTGAAGTGATTTTGAGAGATCCGAATACTTTCAGAGTTGAACACAGAATACGTGCACACACTGGAACTATATCTGATATAGATACTAGTGGAAATTTGTTACTAACTTGTGGATTTTCTGTCAGGTTTGCAATGTCTACGCATTAGTTTATAAGTTATTTATAATATGTTCTTAATTTTATTATTAATTCATTGTCAATTTATCGATAATTTTATCGAAAATTTTTTATTGATAATATTATTTACAATTTTATTATTGATCTATGGATATCAATATTGTAGACATGGGAACCTTATAATTGATCCTTTAGTTAAATTATATGACATTAGGACAATGCGTCCTCTTGCGCCCATTCCTTTTTATTCTGGTCCCTGTTTTATCAGGATGCATCCCAAACTTTCAACTACTGTTTTTGTCGTGTCTCGATCTGGCCAATTCCATGTCTGTGACGTAGGAAATGCATCTGACATTCATTTTTATCAGGTATTCTTTTTATTTTATTAGCAAACATATAAATAATTCTTGTGATTTATTCATTTCTTTCAATATAAAGGCAAACACTGCTAGTTATATAAATGCTTTTGACCTCTCAACTTCTGGTGAAATGCTTGCATTTGGTGACAGTGCTAGTATTGTACATCTTTGGAGTGATAGAAAAGGTTCAAAAATTAATGCATACTCTAGTAATGTTGAGTTACCTGCTGTTCCTTCTCCAACTCCGAATGTATTTATTGGTGAAAATGAGTATGTTTATTTTTATTTATTTATTTTTTCTTTTCAATTGTATTCTGAATTTTGCATTTAATTACTTTCAGTCCCTTATCATTAATCGGAATGCCTTATTACCGAGAACCATTGCTTTCTGTGTGGCCATCTAATATGATGTTTGAAGTCGGAAATCCGCCTCCGAAAATCGATCCTGACATCATGAATAATATGAAAATGATTGATTTTGTTGGATACGCCCCAAATATAGGTAACAAAAAACGAAATCAAACTGTTAGATGGTCAAAGAAAAAGCATAAAGCCGGAACCCCAAAGTTTCATTCTGAAAAGGAAAGAGAATTGCAATCTGGAAAGGAATCCAAGGTAATCTCTAATCTCTTGGTAATTATTGGTAATTATTGTGATGCTTTTACAACAAAATATTGATTGGCTTTTTATAGGAACCGGTCAATTTATTTGATGAAGAAGCTGAATTGGGTGCGATTGGTACTAGAATGCCAAAATATTATAAACGTGTGGAAATTAAATATAGTAGATTTGGCATAGATGATTTTGATTTTGAGTGAGTTTCTAAATATTGTTATAATTTATTTAGATTTATTTATTTATTTAAAATCTATTTTTCTTATTTCTGAACAGGTTTTACAATAAAACTCGTTATGCAGGATTAGAGACACATATAACAAATTCATATTGCAATTCGTTATTACAAGTTTTATTTTTCACACCGGCTCTTTGTTTGATAACTAAATCTCATATTGGTTCTTCATGTTCAAAAGAAAATTGCCTTTGTTGTGAACTTGGGTTTCTGTTTCGTATGTTGGAAGATGCTGTAGGAAGAAATTGTCAAGCTTCTAATTTTTTGAAAGCTTTCAGTACAATTCCACAAGGTAGGTTAGGCTACAATAAACATGAAATCATGTAAAAACGTCTTATTTATGTGATTTCGTTTTGATAAATCGAATTCTTGGATAAACGATGTGCAGCGCTAGCTCTCGATCTATTTGAACCGGATAAGCCTGACGAAAAGTCTCCATATTCAATGCTTATTCAGAATTTTAATCGTTTCATCCTTGAACAACTTCATCAGGAATGTAATTCTGATAATAATCCTCGATTGTTAAAGTCTTTGCCTTTGGAAAAAACTTCTCTTTCGGTGATACAACAATTGATTGGAATGCAAATGATTTCGGTTAATAAATGTCAATGCGAAGCGGAAACTGAACGAAATATCACTTCATTTGTTGTTGATTTAAATTATTCTATAAAAGTAGGCTTAATAGTCTTATTTTATTATTAATTGCTATTTAACTGAACTCTCCCAACCTAGTTTAATGTTATTCAGAACTCAAAGGACAAGCATACTGCACCAAAGTCTTTTGTAGACATTTTACGATCAAGTATTAGACGCGAAACCCAACCAAAAGCATGGTGCAATAATTGTCAACAATATACTCCAATAATCGCTAAAAAAATACCAAAAAGTTTACCGCCTGTTTTAACAATTAATTGTGGTCTTGGAACATCAGTTCCATTAGATTACTGGAGATCACTTGATAAAAATAAAACTTGGTTACAAAAAAGGTATTTTATCTTTCAAAATGTTAATTTAAATTTATTGATTGTGTCTTTTTATCTAACTTTAAGATAGGATTTCTATGAGATTAGAACAGGATGATTTAATTGTAAAAGAATTGGCATCAGATGCAGTTGTTGATACTAGTTATACAGGCAATTTAGATAGTGCAAATTATGAAATAATGGTTAATAATTAATATATGTATATGTGTAATTTTTGGTTGGGTTATAATGTATATATTAATATTTTAAATCTATATTTTAAAAGGCAATTATTGCTCAAATTAGGATTGAAAAAGAAACGCCACATCTGGTAGTTTTTATAAAAGGTTGTATATCTTTTTATTAAAATACTTTCAATTATGATTCTGATCACTTATTTACAATATGAATTAACAAGACTAATTTATTAGTTCCTAACAAAGAACTAGAACCAGGGAGTAAAGGTCCTTGGTATTTGTTTAATGACTTTTTGGTCAGAAATGTGACAGAGCAAGAAGTTTTCAATTTTCAAGGATTATGGAAAGTGAGTGAAAATATTTGTTAGAATTGCAATACAATTGTTGATGCTTTATTAAATTTTTTATATCTGATGCACATTTAGACACCAGTAGTTTTATACTACTCAAGAATTGATATTACTGATCTGATAGATATAAGTGCCCTACCTTCTGAAATTGATAAATCTATATTATTTAAAGATATTTCTATATCCAAGTTGGTGGTTTTAAATTTCTTTTTGAAATGCAAATGGTATACCATACTTAATTTAATCAAATTGCTATTTATTAGGCATCGTTTAACCAATAAAAAAACAGCGCACTTACTAACACCAGAGGAATTGCCACAACCTGGAACATTAGTCGCAATTGATGCCGAATTTGTTGTTTTAAATCAGGTACATTTTTAGATCAATTATTCAAAGTTTACTGCAATATATTTTTTTTCATAGTTTTGCTCCTTATATAGGAGGAGACAGAGATTAGAAGTGACGGAACAAAATCAGTTATTAGACCAAGTCGTCTAAGTTTGGCTCGTGTTAGCGTTTTACGTGGTGAAGGACCGAAAGAAAGTATACCATTTATTGACGATTATATTGCAACATCAGAACCCGTTGTTGACTATTTAACTGAATTTTCTGGGATTGAAGGTTTAACCTCTAAATTATTAAAATTTCATAAATTGCTTGCAAGTCTGGGTATATTTTAACACATATCTTTGTATTATCTATTGATATTTAGCTGGTGATTTGGATATTTCAACGTCTAAACATACATTAGTCCCCCTCAAGGTGCTGCTTAACTGCATAACTTTAGCATTGTATTTTGAGCTCGTAATTTAGTCTAAATCATTTATGAACTTTAATTAGGTTGCTTATAAAAAATTAAGATTACTTCTTGATCTCGGTTGTGTATTTGTTGGTCATGGATTAAAAAAAGATTTTCGTATAATAAGTAATTATTTTTTTCATAATATTTTTAAATTGTAGTTTATTTGTAATTTACTTATTTATTTATCTGTCCATATTTTAATTATAAAAGATATATTAGTTCCATCAGAACAAGTAATTGATACTGTTGATTTATTTTATTCAAAGAATCGAGCAAGGTACTGTCTTGAACTCAAAATAATTTGAATATTTGGTGCAAGTGGTTTGTTTCACTGGTTTTTATGTTCGTCTAGGAAAATATCACTTCGGTTTTTAGCTTGGTATTTATTAAGACAAGATATACAAACTGAGACACATGACAGTATTGAAGATGCTAGAACAGTAGGTTATTTTTATGTCGTATAACGATTATAGCTTTTATAACCTTTTTTTTTTTAAAAAAAAATACTTACCACATTCTTGTTCATTTACATCTGTTTTATTAATAATAAAGGCATTAGCAATCTATAAAAAATACTTACAATTTAAATCGGAAGGTATATTTGAAGAAGTGCTAGAAGATATTTACAACGAAGGTAAAAAATACAATTGGAAACCCACCCCTGGAGAGTTTCCTGCTATAAGGTATTGAAATTATCATTAAGTTGATCAATTGCATAGCTCTTGTCATGATAGTAATTACCACGCTTTTTCGTACAATCTCAGAGATAAATTTATAGGTAAATTGAATTTCTAAGATCTCGGGCTTTCGAACAATATAGAACTTTTGGTCATTATAAAGATATTCTCCAAAGAAAGATGATCAAGTATAGATATTAATTATGTGTTTTTGGAAGTTAAGACTTATCTAACATTCAAGAGGTGACATTTTATATAAAATGGCAGCTACTGTAGTTGTTCCTTAAACTGTATTCCAATAAAACCAAAAAAACAACAATACAGAGTATATTTTACATATAGAATATGTTATTTAAACATATTCTACCAATTTATTAAGATATTTTTGATATTTTTGAATAAGATTTCGATTTAATCTGTCATAATAAATTCGGGTCACAATTTAAAAATTCAGTGCTAGCGATAGTTGGTTAATCATTGACTTAAAATTATTTATCATGTGATGATGTTTAAGAATATTAGGATTGTGTTTAAATTAGTGCTTAGGTTAAAAATTAGTAGTTATTTGTTGCTTTAAAAATAATAAAAATGACTACCAACACTTTCGGATCAGCAAACAATTTCTGAGGTGACAGCCTACCCAGATAAGATGATCCCAAAGTAGACCTAGATTAAGAGATAATTGAAAGGTAATACATTATACTTTATGCACAGGAATGCGATTTCCAGTTTTTGAGAAAAACCCAGTGATATTGAGAATTAAAGTCTATAAGAAGTTTTGACCAATCAAACTTTGATCTGCATAAAAGTTGTGGAACAGTGAAATTTATATAAAGGGGAGCAGCGAATTAAAATTTTAAACTCAGATATTCCGATAATGTCTAACGATGTAAATAGTGATAATAACCCTCCAAGTTTGTTAAAGGAAATTGGATATGATACAATTGACATTTTAGATCCTGCGGTAGACACGACTGGAACAATTTGTGACGTGATTAATCTTTCATCAACAGTAGCTGTTCCATTTTCGCGATTTTTACCAATAGTAGACGATGTAGTAAAAATATTTGATGAAATAGCCAAATTATATCAATCAGCTGAACATAATAGACGTATATGTGGTACATTATTTGATAGAGTTATAGCAGCTGAAGCAGCAATTCGTACTTTGAAAATTCGTAGAGATGAACATAAAGAATTTTTTAATCAACAAAATTTTGTTGTTATGCAAAAATTTCTAAGGAATATAGAAAACATTAAAAAATTTGTAATGTTTCTTTTATATATATATATATTTTTGTAAAGTGTTAATTAAAATAAAAAAAAATAAAAATAAACCTTTAATCTAGATTAACGATGTTTCACAATTGAAAGGATTATCGAAATATATTCAAGCAAAATCAATTGAGACTACTTTTCAAGAATTGACTACAGAATTTGATAGATTTGTTTCTATTTTGAATTTAACCATCACTATTGATACCAGAGATCGTGCTCGAAAAGATAAAGAAATCTTGAGAAAAGATATTGAAGATCTTAATAAGGTAGTATCGATAATGTGTTTATTTTAAAATTATTTTTTATAAGTCATATTTAATACAGTATAAAATATAATAGTATTTAGAAGATATTGATGCAGGTCTTACTGATGTAAATAAAAATGTATCAGATTCCGTTAATCAGTTAAATTTATTGAAAGATATGATGGCTCAATTAATGGCTGAAAAAGAAAACAAAAATAATAATACACAAAATCAACAAATAATTAATAGTTTATTCGAAGATACATCTATAAGGTTTTGTGAATTTGAAGAAACCACCGAGATTCGAGGATCCAAAGTTAGAAAATATATTCGATTAAAGGATCGTGAAGAAGTTGCACTTAAACTCGTAGCCAACGAAAAGAATTCTGATAATGATAGGGAAAATATTCGTAATCAAGTTATCATTCTTAAAAAGCTTAAAGATTGTCAACAAATTCTTCAATTTTATGGCCTCACCTCTGATGGTGATAAAACATACTTAGTAACTGAATGGGCAGAATTGAGAAATTTGAAAGAATATTATACGGCTTATAAACCTATAGGTGTTAAAAAGAAATTAAGGATTGCTATTGATATTGCTCGTGGATTGAATTTTTTAAGAGCAGTTGATGTCAGTTACATATTTTATAATTACTATATATTTTGATATTGTAATTAATTGATGAATTATATAGCATTTATTTATAGATTATTCATCGAGACATAAGATCAGAAAACATTTTGATCACTCATCATGAAACTGCAAAAATTGCCAACTTTTATCTGAGTAGGCATTTTTATGATGATACGAAAAACCTTGAAGCAACCCAAGATACAGGTAAAAACTTTTTTTTTAAATAAATTATCTTTTATTTTTCGGTTTTTGAGACCAAGGAAATTACTTTCTTTTATTTAGTTCGTTATGCAGCACCAGAGATTTTACGTAAAAGAGATTCAAAATACACTACAAAATGTGAAATATTTAGGTAAGTATATACGCTATATAATTGAACTCTCTTATTGTTTATTAATCTTTTACTTTTTTAGTTTCGGCATTCTTTTATGGGAATTGGCAGAGGAAAGGACTCCTTACGCGCAATATTCAGATTTAATCGAAATCAAGGAGCTTGTAGTGGATAAAAAATATCGAGAAAGAATACAGAAATATTTCAATCCAAGGTTGGAATTTATAACTACTTTCATAATATCATTATTTATTATTAGAATTTACTATTTGCTAAATTTTTTTAAAAAAAATTAATCAGCTGTTGATTTGGATCCAAATTTTCGTCCAACTTTACCATTAATGTTCACTACTCTTCATAAACTACACAACGCGATTTGTTTACCATTAATCCCTCCCAATCTATGTGATAATATTAATCCTCCTGAAGGAGGAGATTTACCAGACCAAAATCTTGATGATGAATTAACGCTACCGGTTATTAATTTTGCAGAATTTAACTACATGACAATAGAGGAAGCTTCAAAGATTCATAGAATACCAGATGTTCAAAAGAATAAAGAAAAACTAGAAATGGCTTACAAATGTTTCGAGGCTTATACAAAACTTGGTGATACTAAAGCAAAATATTATAAAGGTTATTATTTATTCCAAGGGTTAGTAAAAGTTCCAGAATCACAAGAAGAAAGGTATAAAATTGCAGCAAAGTTATTTAAAGAGGTAGCAGATACAGATGGATCAAATTCTCTGAAAACTTCTCTTAACCTTGAAATCCCTGAGTCGCAGTTAAGATATGGAATGTGTTTACATAATGGAGTTGGTGTAAATCAGGATCTAATTAAAGCAATAAAGTATTTTAAAAAAGCGGCTGATAATGGATTAGTAGCAGCTATGTTTAATGTTGGAAATTTATATTATTCTGGTAGGGCTGGACATCAAGATAAAGGTTTGGGAGAAAGATATATTAAATTGGCCGCTTGTAAAAAGCATCAACCGGCTATTGAGTTTTGTAAAGTTAATAAAATCATGTTATAATTATTTTCCATCTTTAGCTAAGTATTATACATGTATTCTATGCAAATTAGAATACGGTTCGTTATCAATAAAATAATCTGACCACCCCAGTGAATGATATCCATGTTTTTGTAAAAGATTAAAATAAACACCACAATCAAATTCTCGAAAGCAACTTTCCCCGAAAGGACATAAAACTCGGCAAAATTATCCTTTTTGGAAAATGGGTTTCGTACGTACAGTGATATATTCTATAAAGAATTGTGACTATATCAAGATTGTGACTGTATCAAGATTGTGACTATATCAAGATTGTGACTATATCCAGATTGTGACTATATTGGATGTGACTACATTTGACATATCGTGAAGCTGACAGTAACCAATAAAATTCAATTTGGTCATAATCTGACGGATTGATTACCGTTACATAAATATCTAATCATGATAACTCGCTTTTTTTAACGTTAATGACTACATAATTTCGAGTAACTTTCTATTCTATTATATGATTTAAAATTTAATAAATTTATGAATACTAATAAAGTTTATTTTTTTAAAAAAAATTACCCCAAGCATTAAACGATGGTTGTTAGAATTCGTCTGGCATGTCATGGTATAAGAAATCGACCATTTTATCATATAGTTGTAGCAAATTCAAAATCACCTAGAGATGGTAAACATATTGAAAAAGTTGGTGTTTATGATCCAATTCCTGGACCTGATGGTGTTAAGAATATCGAATGGAATGTTGATAGAATTAAATATTGGATATCTTGTGGAGCTCAACCTAGTGACACTGTAGCAAAACTCTTATCGAGGGTGAAACATCCTTTTTTTATATTTATTGATTCATTAAATCTATTATTCTTATTAACTAATTTCTCATTTACTCAGGCTGGTGTTTTGCCGCCTTTACAAAAGACATGGAATAAGACTGTCAAATCTAATGATACTGATCCTGATCCATAACTAAAAAACTGCTGTTAATGTTTGATAAATTGGTTAACTGATTGGTTTGTTATATCACTTTCCTTTTTTACAATCTGTAATCATGTCGTTTAAGATAAAAATAATAATAAAAAAAAGTATAAAAAGCCTCATTAAACAAACAATAACATGCTCGAGTGTATCTCATTTTTTGGCACCTATCAATAAGCTAGATTAAACAAGAAATTAAGGCAAGTGAATCGTGTGTACATTATACGTTTTTTCGGAAAGATTAGCAATTATGAATACGATTACCACACGAAGATGGGACGATCAATTTGTAAATACTTAAGGATAGGACTTATTATTTAGAAAAAAATTAAAAGTACTGTACCTATACATTTCAATTACTCGCTTTCTTGATATTCTGTACGGGTTTAAATTTAGGTATTCGACTGGAACTTTTACCAGAGTTCTGAAGCATGTTTTGGATTCTTGTTTCTTTTATGGAATAGAATTTATGATTTAATCTTTAGAATTAACGCAATAGCTACCTCAGTAGCTATAAAGAAATCATATGAAATTACTCTCAGATCCATGAGATACATGTAGATATACCAAGACGGAAATTTCGTTAAAGACGTTTATGACATTCATGCATAGTGATACAGTCAGGCATCTTTTCGTGTACCTTTCTCGGGGCTAAGCACAACTGCACATTTAAAAAGGACGCGTTTAGAAATGCAGGATGTATTCAGTGTTTCAAATCGCAAATCGATTAATGGTTTAGTTGGTCAAGTTGGAACTAATCGATCAATAAATGTCGTGGATCACGGATTAAAATGAAATTTGGGGTTTTAATCCGTCATGATAAATGAAAATTATCACATCTTTCTTTATAAATGAGTTAAATATATATTATTATGTACGAACTAATCGACTGGCTGATTAATCGAATAACTGATTAAAAATAATGGGCCAACTAATCGACTGCATTTTGTTTCGATTTGGAACGCTAGATGCATTTATAGAGGGTGTAGCTTGTTAAGATATTAAATAAGGTTAATACGATGACGTCATTATGTAATTATAAAATATAAATCATAACCGTATCTCTTTCAAGAAAAATAAAACATGGATGAAAACAACGAAAACGCAAGAAACATAATTATAGAGATAGATTTAGAAAACCCATCTCCAGTTTTACAACCGACTCCAATGAATGATCTTTTAGATTTTGGAGATCTTATAGACGAACCTTTACAAAATTCCACTACAGATTCTTGGCAACTCTCAACTGATAAAACACATGAAACGCGTGAAGGTCAATCCATCACATGCGATTCCTGCGCATCCTATACTAAAAAAATAAATATGTACAAACAACAACTTGATTCTATGGAACAAGAAGCAATTAATCGTCGAGAGAAATTAGCCAATAGTTACGATGAGTTAAAAAAAGTTTTAACCCTTAAAAAAGAATTAATCGAAAAGTATTCAGTGAACGATGAATCTTCTAAAGCCCCGGCCTCTGGATATTTTTCAAAACCTGAAAACAACATTTATTCGTACGGATATTCTGATGCCGGTCCGAGGTAAGAAATTACTTTTACTTTATTATTGGTTAACGTTCCCTCTAACGATTCTCAATCATTATTTATTATTTTTTTTGGACTTAAAAAGTGATCTTTCGAAAAATAAAAATCAGTTTGAATGGTATATTTCATCTGATCAAAGTGAAGCGAATGTCCAAGATGAATATATGAAAGGTTATCATGAAGATGTTGGAAAGAATAAACACCCAGCAGGTAATATTTGAGAATTCGTAAATATTTGAAATATTTGATCAATATTTAATTCGAATCGGTTTTTTTTCACAGAAGACAATTTGTTTTATTGGGATTTTGAGAATTTTGATGATGAAAATAATTAATATGCTTTCTAAAATTAATTCGAACCGATATTTTCTTCAAGGAAATGTTTCACGATAATTTACATTGATTGATGCTTTTTGTATTCTTTAAAGATCATTCTATATTAAAGTTGGTTTATTCTTAAATATGGTTTATAAATATTTTTTTTTTTTTTTTACAAAATAAAAAAAAAAAAAAAGCTTTTGAAATTTAAATCTTTTCCGGGGATGGGCAAATCGAGCAATTTTTAAATTTAATGCATAGCATTTTAATACGCAGGCTCATCCCTATCGCAACTGTTAATTATGTGCTGTAATTGTATAATTTTTTGTAATTCAAGGTTAATTTCGAGTTCTTGTTGAGTTTGAGTATTTCATTAATATGATGAGATTAGATAAACATGTATGCATCAATAATGTGAGAAAAGGTTAGATAATACAGTAACACACAGACATCGTGGTATAAATCACGTGAAGAACGTTAATCGTGACGAAATGTTTCCTTTTTGTAATAGTTTAATATGCAGATTCGGCAGGTTACTGCATAATCATTATTGTCAATTCATATAATGACAAAAAATACCTAATAATTAGATATTGTTTTCATACTTGTTCTTATTTTTAAATAATGATGTCCGTTAAAAGCCTTCGCAATCCTTCTCCCTTACCAATGTTAACATCTGATTGTATTGCTGATATTCTATACCAACTAAAAAATGATCGCGCAACACTATACTCTTGTCTTCTTACCAATCGACTATTTTGTCGACTTGTGGTCCCACTATTATGGAGTAGACCATTCGAGCATATAATTTCTGGAAAGAAAGCTGCAACCAGCATAATCCATTCATATTTATCCTGTTTGACACTTGATGAAAGACAGATGTTATCTAAAAAATTGAAACACTGGTTTCCTCCTTTTCCTACTCCATTATTCGATTATCTTAAATATCTTCGAGCTTTTGATTCGAGAAATTTCAGACAAACCGTTCAAAAATGGTGGTCCGTTCCCTTTGACAATGTTCAAAGTCTCAAAAGAGTGATAGACGGTATTGAATTATTTAGCAACGTCCTGTTAAATCATATTCACAGCTTGGAATTCTTGAAATTAGAACAAGAGTACAATAATTATTTTGACGAAGAAGGAAACCTCATTTGTAGCTTCCCAGATTTTGCTTCTTACGTAAGAGCTGGTCAAGTATTGCATAATCTTCGAAGATTTGAATTAACTTATTGGATTGAAATTGCGAGTAACAATGTCACTGAAGAAAAAATTATAGGTTTACTCAACAAAGTTATAGAATCCTCAACGGTTATTAGGCAAATTGCGATTAATATGCCAAGTTTGCTTGAAACTCAACCCATAGTTCCACTACTATCTAAATTAATTAGTAGGCAACGTAGCCTTGAAACATTGGAATTTGATGGCCGGTGGGATTCCAGCATTTCAAATACTTTGTGTTTATCAATTCATAGTAACCTAAAATATTTAAGAATCAATAATTTAACCACGATTATAGAACTTCTTCCCATCCTTAACTCATGGACTCATCTTGATACTTTGGTATTATGTAGACCACAAGTTATTGATGACTTTACAAAGATTAATGTGGACACTCTGCCTCCAATTTTCATTAGAAAATTGTTAATTTACGATGTTGGATCAGATCGAAAAATCTTGGATAACTTTGTAGGATTATTACTTCGATTAGCAAATCGTCATTTAAAAGTGTTCTCATTACAAGAATGTATAACACCTAAACTTTGCAAAATACTTGTTGAATATTGTCGAAATTTAACGCATTTATCAACAATTATTAATACTATCGATCTTTCTTCGCTTTGCACTACACTTAAATATTTACCGAGTATTGAACATTTAATAATAGTTCAGAGTAATAGTAATTCTTCACGACAACGTTCATGGATGATATCAAACAGTTGTGGTGTTAATAGACATTCATGGGAAACAAAATCTCTTAAATGTCTTGCCAGCTCATTCCCACCTTGCCTCAAATATTTAGGAATGTGCATAAATTTTTCGGTAACTCAACTCAAAATTCTTTTACAAAATATTGATGCACCTATTTGTATGATGGAATTTTGTAATGTTGGTGGTGATTTGATGATGGATAAAGCATTAGAGTTACATTTTTTAAGATTAATGGCGGAATATGCTGCAAGAAATCCAGGATTTTGTGTACTTGGATTACCTGAAAATCCAGAAGCTTGGTATGATGCTGATTTTTGGAAGATGGCGAAAGATTCTATTCCTGTGATTAAGAAGTCAGAACTTTTATATTATCCAGTTTTTAGTAAGTATTAATAAAGTTTAAGTTGGAAATTCGAAGTTTAAATTTTTTTTTTGTTGAAAACTTGCTGACATTAATATGTATTTTATAGATGGAATGATCAATCCCGGATACTATTAAATGAATCCTTGAAAAAAACAAAAAATGCTTACGATAATAGAACATTTAGTACAACAGCATGAATATAAAACGACTATGTTGTATTTATTCGTAGTATTCCTTAGCGCATATTATTGATTTGATTTATGTACTTTCAAGCTGTACTGCTTTAAAAAAAATTTTGCATGGTTAAAAAAAAAAAGTCTTTATTTAATAAAAAAGAGACAAAAATATATATATTTTTTTTTCGATGATTACGGTAATTGGATTAGCAGTAACTAATACATTCAGACCTTCCTAAATGCAGCTTGCACGGACTAGACTTTTGACAACATGCATTTAAAGACAATAAAAAAAAAATGGATTTATGAAGGTTAAGTATATAGTTGGACCAGAATTTGAGCTTGCGATCAGAGATTTTGCATTTAAGGTAATCGCACGTTTTTCGATGATCGATCATTTCAACTGAAAATGATTACGATCAGCATACTGCTGACATTACTACAATGATTTGAAATACAGTTGATAGAAACGCTTTAAGTAACTTTAAACAACAATAATAACAAGAGCTTAACCAAATTTATCGTGCTTTTTCAAATTAATGTGATTACGTGAAAAATTTCACACGCAACACGCAGGAATGGAATATAAACTTGTGATTGGCTAAAAATTATTTAGTTGATTTTTTATTAAGTATTTTATATATTATATACCGGGACTGCATTTCAAATCTCAATAATCTAGTCAATTTCAATGTTTAATACCAATTTCGAATTCTACTAGTCTATATAATTTGCAAATACCGTAAAACGCCGTATAAGGTACCCCCCTTGATTTGTACCGGGTATGTTTCAAGGTTATTTGTTGTGGTGTTT